AAAATGATTCCTCCTATATAAACGACGATCAAGACCGCATTGGAATTGAAAAGAGCGGCCAGCCAATTCAAATAATTAAAGGACTCCCTACCTCACAAATTGCCCGCTCCAATCTTCCATCGCAATCCTACGATAGGCGGCGGGTGCGGCGTGTGCGACGCCGTGTTAGGGGAGAAGTTCCCGGACCAGGGCACTTTCAGAGTAGAGCGTCGAGCGCAAGCACGTTTCATTCGTAGGCCGCGTTAGTGTCCGCGCCGCCGCTGACTATCTGCGTTGGAGCATGTTATTTTACTGGAAGAGCTGCGAACAGCTCTTTTTCAATGATATGCTACCGACACAGTACACCATAGTAGTGAATAAAGAAAAATAGCAAATACCTAAGCCAAAAAATTGGAAAAAGTTGACCATCACCAATAAAGACTCGATCAAGAAATTATTCACCACCGATTCGTGCGGTATCGATAAATGACCGGCGTTTTCAACGAAACGCTCGACGCTTCGCTCTGAAAGATGCCACTCTGCCTTGCCATGCATGAGACGGCACGTTTCAAGTTAGATCTGGGATTTGGATAGATACTACTTATCGCTTCGAGTGATGCTTGGTATGAAGTCACATCCGTGCACTATAAAATATAAAATAAAATTAAAATATAAGCATGGCATTTTCTCACCTAAGCTTAATATCATTTCGTCTATGCATTTGAAATTAAAGAAGTAGGAGCAAGTGGTGCTAAGTTATAATAGTCTTTTTATGTCCTTGACGAATTTCGATAATTTAGAAAAGCGATATAGGACTCGCAATAACGACAGCCGCTTCGATGACCGGTACACAAAAAGAAACTCAACAAGTAAGTTCAGTTATAAAATGAAGTATAAGATAATGTAATGTAGTATAGTATAGCGTAATACAAATAGCACAACAGCGTTCTTCGTTAGCTATAACGCGTCCGTTCATCAAACTTAGTATATTAAATTATATTATATTAAATTATATTATATTATATTATATTATATTATATTATATTAT